GTGAGTGTGTGTGTCCTGTGATGGACTGCTGTCCTGTCCAGGGTGTGCGAGTGTGTGTGTCCTGTGATGGACTGGTGTCCTGTCCAGGGTGTGTGTGTGTGTGTCCTGTGATGGACTGGTGTCCTGTCCAGGGTGTGTGTGTGTGTCCTGTGATGGACTGGTGTCCCACCCAGGGCGTATCCTGCCTTGTGCCTGTTGTTTGCCTCGATAAGCTCCAGCTCCTTCACGGACCCTAATTGGAAAAAGATGATAAAACGTGTATGCATGGATGGTATATAACTTCTGTTAACATTAGAGGAATTATTTAACATCAGAAAGGCACTGATCTAGGTATCCTCCTTGAGTGTACACAGAAATACATGAGAGAATTTCTGCGCTCCTCTAACCCAGAGTCTGGTGACTTAGGATATGTAACACGTGACATCTTTTGTGAATGTTATTTGTTTTCAGATGTGTTTTATTTGCCACGACGTCTCATAAATCCCAACTCCTGAACACAAAACGACGAGTGATATTCCCAACTCAGCCCTTGTAGCCTATTTAGTTGTCTGTTAGTAGTTAATCGATGGGAGGGGATCTCCTTCAGCTGCGTCTGGAAAGAAGCCAGGGCAGCTGCTCGATGGCCAGCTTGTTCCATGCTCTCACCACTCTGTCTGTAAAGAAGGGCTTCCAGAGGGGGTTCCCTGTTCCCAGTTGGAAAAGCGCTTCCGCGTGGCTTTTCGCAAGTGTGTCCTCTACTTTGTCTCTCGCGGTCAGATCTGCAGAAATCGAATGGATTGAGTCAGTGGATCTCTTCAGAACGGACAGTGCAACACGCTCCTGCTCTCTCTCTCTCTGACATAACATAACATCACTTTATTAGCCCTATACAATTTCTTGCATTAGGAATTTGGCTGTTCGCATATCCCAGCTGGCTCTCCATGAGACACACAGACAGGGAGAGAGAGAAGCTGGGGGTCAGAGCGCAGGGTCAGCCATTGTACGGCGCCCCTGGAGCAGCTGGGGTTCAGGGCCTCGCTCAGGGGGGCCCCAACGGAGTAGGATGCCTCTGCCAGCCGCGGGATTTGAACTGGCAAACCCCTTCCTGCCACAGGCGCAGATCCTGAGCCACAGAGCCAAACCACTCCACCCTGACGTTCTGCTGATCCTGGTGTGTCCCCTGTGTGTGTGTGTCTCTCTCTCCAGGGCTCTGGGGTGTCCCCTCCTGCTGCGCTCGTCAGAATCACTTTGTGAGCCTGGAGAAGAGCTGGACCGAAGCCCAGAGTTACTGCAGGGAGAACTACACTGATCTGGCTGTGATCGAGAGCCCAGAGGACAACGAGCAGCTCCTGCAGACTGCGGTGATGAACCTTTTGCCAAATTTCGGCTGGATTGGACTGTACCGGGACAAGTGGAGCTGGCAGTGGTCCATGGGGAACATCAGTCTTTACGGTCCGGCTGGGACTAATTTCACCAACTGGGCTTCAACAGAACCAGACAACGCCGGAGGGAAAGAAAATTGTGGGACCATGTCGTCTACCGGTTTCTGGGCTGACAGCCCCTGCAGTACTGCCCGTTTCTTCATTTGCTATCAAGGTGAGATACGGGCTCTGTCCTCATTCAGGTGCTGTGCTGTTATGCTGCTACAGCTGGAATATCAGTCGTGGTCCGTGGGAGTCGTTAGAGCTGGAACAGGTCGGTTTAGTGAGCCGGCAGCAAACAGGCAGAGCGCCATCCAGAATTGTCGTCAGGAAATGAGTTCAGAGGTCAGAGCCAGAGAGGACGCAGCCAAGTTACAGCGAAGCAGATCACAAGTAAAACCGGAGAGGGGACACAGCAGTGGCTCAGAGCAAAGCGCCATGACAGAGCGCAGAGCGCTGCCCTGCCAGGCCTGAAACAGCCCGCTTCACCTGGAGGCGGGGGGTGCCGTGGTCGGTCCCAGGTGAAGCAGGCTTCCTGACAAGTTGGGTCTCCGACCGACAGGACCGGCGACCACGGTAGAGCTGGCTTCCTCCATAGCGCCCCCCCCCCTTGAGGACGCACGCGCGTGAAACAAAAGGAACAGAAAGGACTTCAGAAGGAAAGTACCGCGGGGGGGGGGGAATGAGTTCATGGGTCCTGGGTGAGATTCTGGAGTGGGTCGCCTTCTGGGTTGCAGCTTGTTCACCCCAGGTCTCCAGGGAACTGGTATCTCTACGTTGTGCCCTCTGATAAGTTGTCCAGAGTATACAGCCCTCCCAGGCTCATTCAACTCATGCAGGAGATTTGCAGTGGCCAGGAAAAAATGGCTTTCTGACACCGGATAGACGGAAAGACGGAAAGATTCCCCAAAATATGTCGGAAAGTAGGAGTGACAAGACAGGGGCGTGGAATGAGAGAAGTGCACTAAAGCGTTTTAGTTGTATTATTCCACCCCCCCACAGCGTTGAATACGGAAAATACGTCCTGCTGAAATACATAATCAATACGTAGTGCTGCAAGGTTGATTGCTTTAAGTTCTCCAGAGATTTGCGCTTGGTGTTGATGTACTGGGGAGAGATCCTTTCGCTGCAATCTACCTGCTGTGATTCTGATATTATGATAATGATAATGATAATGATAATAATAATAATAATAATAATAATAATAATAATAATA